GTTATCACTCGTCACTTCAGTTAGTTATATAGGGGGATAACTCGTGTTTTCCTTTTGCGTTCGTCACTTCCGATTGTTGAAACCTTTATTACGCATCTATCGTAGCAATGATATCTGTGTTACAATTATATTTGGAACGTGTTTAACCAGTTCTATCACATATGTGTATTCTATTATTACCAGGAATTGATCAGCGTGTGTAACTTTAAATGGCTTTTTTTTTTGGGGGGGGGGGGGGCTAATATTTCTCCTCTTTTTATCTTTCATGGAGAAAATGATTAATAGGTTCGATGCGTTTGTTATTGATACGGATACTGCAAGAGCCCACATTCTTACCTTTAAAGATTACCTCAACCATCAAGATATTGCTATTGATGATGGAGAATTTGAGAACATATGACACCCTTTTAATCAATCGCTCTAAAGGGCAAGCCTCGTCTGTCGATAGAGGACATTTAATTTGATTCTTATGCTAGTTTGAAAGAACAGTTCATTGACAAGTATTCCTCAACTAAAACTAAACTTGTATTGTATTTAGTATGATTGTTCATTGTGTCCTAGTGACAATTTAGATAAAATCCATGTTCCTGAAGCAACGACTGTGAGTTTTACAACATCTGGCCGTTGCTTGTTTACTTCACAATTCCCGAACTTATAGCTACGTTATCTACAGACACATGAGCAGTAGCGTCTAATGAGAGGTTGTGACATCGCGACCTCCACGGACACCTTGACATTGAATGAACCTTGAACTTTGCAACTCGATTATCACCATAGGCGTACGGGCTTGATGACAGTTAGGGGGGGGCAGGAACCCGAATTGCCCGAAAAAATTTCGGGTTTACAGACAGCGGCGCGGTCTTCCTCGAAAGGCGAAGAATCGGGGCTTACCTTGTGTGCCCCCCCCCCCCAACAAAATTTTGGAATATCTGACAGCTGCAAACACGTTTTCCTGCTTTTTCAGCCCGTGAACAAAGCAACTTCAAAATGGTCTTATATAGGCTAATTAAGATGGCTGGCTCGAATTCCAATCAAAAGATCAATCGTTTACAGTCCACGGAGACGGGACCGTTGGGAGAAAATTTTGAAAATTTAACCACCGCAAATGCGTTTTCTGCTATTTTAGCCCGTGTAAGCAACTCCAAAAGTATCCAATGGTTTTGTAACCGAAATCCCAATCTGAATTCCAACCATCCAATCAGACTGTTGCAGCTGCATTCACAATAATAATCGATGCCTGAAAAATGTCGCACAAAGTAGAGTGGCTCCAGACAAAATGTTTTAATCCATAGTCAACTCAGTACAAATTCGTGGTATTCAATTAAAATAAAAGTAAAATTAGTGTTTTATTAGGGCTCGATGACAGTTAGGGAAGCAAAACTAGAAATGCCCCAAAAAAATTCAGGTTTACAGACAGCGGCGCCGGTTTTCTTCGAGAGGCGAAGAAGCGGAGCTGACCTTGTATAGACCCCCCGCCCCCCAAGAAAATTTTGGAAGATTTGACGGCCGCAAAAGCGTTTTACTGCTATTCCAGCCCGTAAAATTTGTGTTTTATTAGATTTCGGGCTCTTTATTTGGCCAAGTAGTCAGCTTGCCCGAAAGTTAGGGGGGCAGTTGCCCCCCCTGCCCCCTTGGCTCGTACGCCTATGATTATCACAGCCTTCACAGGTAGACATTTTAGCTTGAAAGCGCGAGACTTGTACCCAATCGAAATTAGTGCTGAAATATGCAGGGTATTACATGAAGGCCTTGATAAGATGTACGGAGTTAACGCGATATCAAGCCTTCTATTGAAGATGGATAAAATCAAGAAATTAGCCAATCTGTTAGGTTATAATCTGTCACAAGTTAGGGATAAATTTATATCTATTTTACCAACCAACTGTAAACAGTCTGTTATCATGGCAAGTTCAGATGACACAAGTGCCCAAGCACTTGCGACTCAAGCTCAAAGCTATTTTGATGTAGGTAACAATTCCTCACAAACTACTGCTGCTAAAGAGGTGTCCTTTGATTTGTCTGAGAATTTGTCACAAGTTAGGGATAAATGTATGTCTATTTTGCCAACCAACTGTAAACAGGCTGTTATTATGGCAAGTTCAGATGACAAAAGCTCAACGCTATTTTGATGTAGGTAATAATTCCTCACAAACTACTGCTGCTAAAGAGGTGTCCTTTGGTTTGTCTGAGAATTTGTCCAGTTTACGATTGCCATCACAGGAAATAAAATAAAATGAAATGAAATAAAATAAAATGAAATGGGGTTTAACGTCCTACTGTTCTGCTCCGAACTGGGCTAATGAAGACGGGCATACGCCAAACAGTGTGCTACGAGGGAAATTTCGCCCAGACAGCGGCACTACGGCCTACTCTTATTTCTAATTCCAACTGTCAAGGGATCTTTAACGTGCATGCCAATGTATCCACCGGGACCACGGTTTTTCTTCCCATCCGAACGACTAGACAGCTTTCCTTGGCAGGCCTTCCGACTGCATAATTGACAAGGGGGAACAACGCTGGATAAATCGGGATGGAGTTTCTCGGCCAATGAGGGGATCGAACACCCGACCTCTAGGCTAGCGAGCCAGCGTCTTACTCACTTAGCCAACGTGACCGCCCACACATCTTGATTGCAGCAGGGGCACATCACACTCACCTTTCCGCGATCAACGTCCTAAAAAGTCTCTCAAATTCTAATTTGCGCCATTCACAGTCACTATTTAAAGACAACAGTCCAATGCCACAGTCGAAGCGTGTTACGAGTATTATTGCCTCAGTCCGCGTCACATATGGAGATCCTGTTTTACTCGGCAAGATGATCTGATGAGTAGGCTGTGACAGTATACTTTTAACATGTCTAATGATAAGACATGCCATTCCAATAAGGGGTTCCCCCTGTTGCTAAATATAAATAGAGGACTTGGGTATTATGGGATAGAGCCTCCATCTTGTCAGCAAGCATTCGGTTGATATCATTTGTACTGTTTATGTGCTATACTACATAACAAATATACCTAGCCCAACGTTTTCTCTATAAACAATGACCGTCCACATAGACGTAGACATTTGTCACACTCTTTCAACCCTACTAGTTATCAGTCACCTTATGATGCAAATACGTCAGATATTCAGTAATATACAATTACACCAATTTTATTTTTTTGTTTTTTTGGTTTTTTTGTTTTTATGACCAAGTAGCATGCGAACTCTACCACCAAAGGGGGATCACGTGGCTAAGACGCTGGTTGGCTAGCCTGGAGGTCGGGTGTTCGATCCCTGCATTGGCCGAGAAAGTTCATAGCACACTGTATGTCGTATGCCCGTCTTCATTAGCCCAGCATAGGAGCAGAACAGTAGGACGTTAAACCACATTTCATTTTATTTCCTACCACCAACCTGTAATCTGATTGTAGATTCGTAATCTTCACAAACAGTTCTTTAAGACAGGGGGGTTGGATGGCTGAATGGTTAGCACGTGCGAGCTGTCATGTCATGGAATGACCCAGATAGAAAATCTCTGCTTATTTTATTTGATAGTGGTGCTTCTAAATCATTTATTTCACAATCCGCTGTTAATTCTTCTCCTTATTTTTCAACTTTACCTGGGTCGCCTGTCCAACCTCGTGGGTTTTCTCCGGGTCCCTCGGTTTCCTCCCACTGCTAAAGACCCCTACGCGTAAGCGAATTATTAAAATATAAAAATTATACCATATGTTATTACCGAAATTACCTAGTTTGTGCCGAGTTGTCATCTCTCTCTCTCTCTCTCTCTCTCTCTCTCAAATTTACCTGTACATAAGTTAGTAAAGTGTTTGGAATTTTGTATGGTCAAATGTTAAGTTGTTCAACTTTCATGTTTATACAAGTCTTTAGTCAAGGTTATTCGTTTCGTTTAAAGCTTTATATTGCCCCAAATTTAGTGGGTTTTTCGTTTCGTTTAAAGTTTAATATTGCCCCAAATTTAGTGGGTACTGATCTTATTTTTGGTCAGGATACATTATCAAAGTTACAGGGTTCCATGCATTTTTAGGATAATGTATTTCGGTGTAAGCCTAAAAGAGACAACTTTTCCCCAACACCCAATGTGCACATTAAGCCAGGTCATGCACGCCATGTCGCCTTATATGGGAATCGCGAGGTCCTTCTTCAGAAGACATCCGATAACACATGTTCAAACCCTTTCTAGTCAATTGATGGCGGAAGAAATTATACAGCTGCATATATTGCAACTCAGACCAGGGGTAGTAACGTAATGACTTCTACCTGGTCGTTGGCCATGTCAGACCTGCAGTGCCAGTGTCGGCCATCTGTGGGTCATAATCTGATAACATGTTAAGTGACATGCGCGCTGTATCATAAAGTCTGTCATTGAGTCGACTGGCGTGGTTTCGAATCCCCGGTTGTACGTGGCAAGGAGTAGGGTCGCCTGTCCAACCTCGTGGGTTTTCTCCGGGTCCTCCGGTTTCCTCCCACTGCTAAAGACCCCTACGCGCAAGCGAATTATGTAAATAAAATTAAACCATATGTTAGTCCCGAAATGACCTAGTTTGTGTCGAGTGGACGTTAAACCCCATTTCTCTCTCTCTCTGTTAAGTGACATGTCGCTCGTATGACCCATCGCTACAACCGGTCGGATCTTCATGTAGTGTAGGCCATCGAAAGTATAAAAAAACGAAACGAAATATAGATCTGTATTTTAATTAGATTGTGTAACGAAATGAAATGAAATGAAATGGGGTTTAACGTCCTACTGTTCTGCTCCTAACCTGGGCTAATGAAGACGGGCATACGCCATACAGTGTGCTATGAGGGAAATTTTGCCCGGGCAGCGGCACTATCGCCTACTCTTATATCGAATTCCAACTGCCAAGGGATCTTTTACGTGCATTCCAATGTATACACGGGACCTCGGTTTTTCGTAGATTGTGTAACAACACATGGCTGGGTTGTAGGTCAGTCGCATGAAGACAAGTTAATAAATGTAACAAACAACAAAGCAATTACAAACGAAAAGTCTGTTTAATTTTGAGTTCTGTTTAATATTTCCATGTCCATGCTGAAAATAAAAATAATATCACATGGTGTTATTCCTTTCCTACAAAGGAGACCCACTTCATTCAAACGAGCCATACTATGCCAATTACTGAAAATAAATGAAATGGGGTTGTTCTCTATGGAAGACCAAACGGCTCTTTGTTCAATGTTCTTAATTCATAGTTCTGATTTGTGAAACAAATATTGATTTTAAGAT